CATTACCTTGAAATATATTCTCCACAATACCTACAAAAAGAACGAAAAACACCTGTTTTGTAGAGCAATCCTAGAAACCGAAGAAGTATCACTTGTTCAAATTTCCGCTCAAACCTGCCACAAATATTGGCGGCGGGGACGCTTCCATTTGGTTCTTGACATTCGGTCATTTAGTGAAAGCCTTTTTGCCTTCTCACCTATGCAAGGAAGCGGAAAGAGCAAGTTATCGTGAACGATTCTTTTGAGTATAGGGCTTAGGGTTACGTGAGAAAAAAGCTGTTGATGCTTCAATAGGGAGTGAAGTCGGTCCAACAATAAAACCGAGTATTGCTGATGCTGCTTGCCGAATCAATGACAAAGTATGAGCTGAAACGGTTTAAAAATGTTCTGCATAGTATTTACAACACTGAAGATCCGCGTTTCAAGCAAAAGCCTGGACCACAACAAAGTAGTACAGATCAAAGTAAAAGTTCCATGCGTGAGAATTTGCGGTACATTGCTGGATTTCAGGTGACTTTGAAACAGCCAAAAAGATAACGGGCTAAGAAAAGTCATTAGTCAGGACTAAGAACAGTCGTTAGCCAAAATGGGTGCGATAATCTAAGATCACTTAGCAGTCCTTTTTACATACACCTTTTTATGACACTGTGCTAGGCAATACTAGGAACTTGTGCTCTAGAGAAAGCGGGACCGGATTACTAGCACTTGCAGCGGTTCATTTACAAAGAGATTTCTACCCCCAACACTTCTCGATCATTCTTTCATTTTGCTGGATAGCCTTGACCGAACAATATCACTTGCGCCACATGGCTCCACTCATTTGTTATTCTTTGCGCCCCTTCTCTCTCATCATATCACCTATTGTCCTTACATTGTCAGAGTCGAGTTAGATTGAACTGCTAGTTCAAATCTACTTGTCAAAGAAATGAGATACGGTCAAAATCTGTAGTAGAGAGGCTGTGAACGATTCAATTGCTGCGCTTCGAAAGTTGCGACTTTTGCTGACTGCAGCTAAAAAAAACTACCGTTGTGAATGCTCGCCAAGTCATTCTAGCTAAAGATTTGTTTACAGGCGCTGCACGTCATTGCTGCCATAACGACGAAAACTTGCCATTTGCCATGGGGAGCGTCGCAGTTCATGTACATGTCGTATTCTTCCTCAGTCATCAGTTTCGCTTCCACCATGTGACGCTCTGTTGGAAATCGTTTGAGCGTTCGTACAGAAATACCGGACCAGGCTACGGCAGCCTAAATCGCGAATGTTGGTACATTTGCCTAAAATGAGCTCGGGACAGGGGCTTACCTGAAGCGATGACCACCTAGCAATTGCTTGGCGAATTGGGAGATTCTCTCTGCCGGGAAGACACGCCGACACCATCATCATCATCTTGTCCGGCCAAGAGATCCAATTGAACTGTTCCCACCTGAACAGTGGATTTCAGTGCTTCTTCTTGCGAACTACGGCTTTTCTTGACATTACCATCTCGCAACGATTACTGAGACGAAGAAACCGAGAAGGAAGGATAGTGGAATGTATTGTGATCCGATCTCGCACCAGTGAATCCACCCGGTAAAGTATTCCTTTTGCTTCTCGTCAAGCATATACCACTGAAAGTACAGTGAGTGAAAGCATTTTTTGATTTTGTCGTTGAAATGAACTCTACCTGTATTGCTAAAATCACATAGTATCCGATGTAAAAAGCAATGAGATCTTTCAGCACTGCCTTCCAAAGTGATCCCCGCCAGCGGAGCATCAACGACGAGAATTCCTCGTCGTATGAAATAGTCATCTTTCCACCAGTTCACTAAATTTCACCTTTATAGGTTTGTCGTAAATTGTTTTATTTTATGAAGAGTTCGAAATCTCTCAACTTTCAATAATTTGGGCCCATTGCACCCCACTTTTAGCAACCCAGTGAGATGAGCATAGGATAAAAACTTTTCGCTTCTGAAACACCGACCCTAAGGAGAGGCTCCTGATCACGCATATAGGCACTCCCTATTTGGGCCTGCGAGCCTCAATTGCGCCACTTGGCGCCATGTGGTCTCCAACGCTGCTTTGCACAAAATCCGCTGCAAACAGGTGTAGGCGTTATTTGCATGAATTGAAGGGGGGTCGTCTCCAACAGGGAAACCGCCTGCTCCGTTTACGCTTCCCACAATCTGGCTATCTCCAAGCGTGGGGAATGCTTCCAGCCTCCATTTATGTTGACTTTACAAGTCAAAATAATCTATTTATAGGATCTGTACGGCAGAGTGTGGCCGTCTCTGAGGTGATCTTTAGGTTAGTAGGCTTGGCACTGCAGACCTATGTTGCACGCCGCACAGAGCCGTCCGCTTGAAAAAGAAGATAATGTCTGCAATGCAGTGACGCTCAAACTAAATCCCTACGTCGCATAGTTTACGGCAAGATACTAACTGAAACAGCAGTTCGAGGCACAAACTGATGCGCAACATGATGTCCATTATTGACGGTGAGGCTGCAGGAGCTCAGGATACTGAACTCACCCACCAGGGCAAGTTCAGCGAATTTTTTTTTTGAATCATTCCACCTCGACTGAGGGTAATAGTGCAATAGTGCCGAAGATTGAGCAATTCAGAGGAGATTAGTTCAATGGATAGCAGAGTGAAAAGTATAAATAGAACATGAATACATAGTTTCAGATTTGTGTGGATTGGAGAATTTTGATTAAGCTTCAAGAAATTATGGAAGGTAGCTAAATACTTTCCCGGGGTATTCCTGTCATCTAGTGAGTAGCATCGCAAATGGGAGACATTTAACATTACAATGTGAGACTACGGAATGCAGTATACCATTGAGGATAACTGAAACAATGGAATGCTTCGCATCACACAACATAAAAAAAACAACAATACATCTACGTATTGATCCTTGTGGAATGTTCGTAACTATTTCGTCAGCTCGTATTTGCACACGTTAACCACAGTGCTCAGAACGGTTCTAACCGAACATGCGGCACTAACAGGAAACATAACGTTCTCGTATCCTTTTTCTTCATTCCGTATTGCCTACCAAAGGTGGAACATTCTGGAAAGCGTTTTCGTCTGGTGTCGTGCACTCACACTGAAGGTTACTATAATGCATTTTACCTCGGAATCGGAATGTATTGACTCCAACTACAGCAATCAGCCCCGTGCTTACAATTCGAAAGCCAATCACCAAAGGAATAAAGAGCATGTCTTGGTAATACAGGTGTGACTTGAGTCAAGCTTCCGGGGTGAACATGAGATGCTTCTCCTGTTCAATACCCTGCTTCAACTTCCGAAAGAAATGAATGGACAGTAAAGATACGTACCGCTAAATCTACTAAATCGGAAAATATTACGTTCCAAGACGCAGTGGAACGGTGAGGAAGGCAATAACATCAGTATGACAGAATAAGTTTGTAAATAATGGCAAAGGGACAAGGATCCTGTATTTAAGGGGCAGGTGATCATATACCGTGTTCCACGACTGAACTTTATTTAATCCTGCATTCCCCAATGTTAGAACCCTTAATGCTAGCCACGGCCTACCGTCGCATCGCGGGCTGCGGCGGTTAGCCGCGCGCGCCGACATTACTCACACACGATGAATCGTCATGCACCCTCTCAAAATAGCCCATAACATCATCTCACCACATTGACACGCTTTACGCGAGGTCCCGTAATCAACCCACTCTCTACGCCCAATATTATTCTTGAGGTGGTCATTTCATTCTTTAATGTGTCATGATTGTTTCATCTAGATTGATTATGATACACGATTGTCATGTTTGTATTTGTGGACTTTGCGGATCTGAGAGCCTAGAAACGTCGTCCCATAATCCAGCTGAGGATGTTTCTATCAGTTCATCGCAAAGAAAATATAGAAGTCATCAAAGGAAAGCTGAGATATTGGCGATCTCTGCTGCAGCCGGGACTCGAAACTAAACGGACTAATGTTCTGCTGACGTAGTGCTCTCCTCAACACTTCTCATTCTTGAAAAAAAAGTGGTCTAGCATTTTTTTGGTTCCTTTTTCGCAAAGTGTCATCTCTCCTTCGACTTCACTCAGGCACAATGAATCACCATAAAGTCAAAATCGACATCCAATATTTCTTCGATCAGAACTCTATGAAATTCTACAAGAGAGACACTGAATACCCACCCTCGCATTGGTGATATGTTGGTAATAATGGTGATGTATACTATGCTGAATAAGTACATCAGAGAAATAAGATAAGTAATTAAATCGAAAAACACCAAAGGTTCTCAAAAATTATGGACCGACCTAATATTTGATTTTATTCCACTCATCGATTAGAGAGCCGCCGGAATACAATAAAATTTCACAAGTCAGCAGCACGGAAAGATTATGCTCTTTTGTGTGACCAATTTATTTAATTGAAAGAGTAGTCCAACTCGGATTACTCAATAGCTTGATCTTCTAAGCCAATTTGCATAGATTAACAATAATGATAGGGTAGCACGAGAAGCCACCCCAAGCAAAATTTGAGATTCGAGTCGGAGCATTTTCATGGCGGTGGCGCTGCTTACCTTTCTCGCACCTAATCGCGTTCATTGGGAAAACCAATCAAAATAACGCTGTTCGTGCTATTATCCCACACCTCACTTTCCGCAGAGAATACGATTACTTGTCGCTTGTCGCTGGTCAAAGACGCATACAAGTAACACCACGATTCCAAAAGTCGCCATCCTCGGAAACCTTGCTACTCGCCGCGTAGAAAATTGGTCTCGAATCACACAAATGAACACGGTTCCCTTTCACAGGTGCTATATTGTAATGGTGTGTTTGAATCATATGAACAAATAAGCAAAAATATCCTGGTCACCTTGCTGTCACTAATTTCAGGGAGTCAGTGTGGGTTCTTTAGAAATTGCACGAATATTGTGGCAATATGGCGCCGTTCAGTTTCTACCTCTACAAAACGCACTGCATAAAAAGCCAGTTGGAGGCGAACACCACTTGAGAATTCAGGTTTTCACAAAATACAGTATTCATACAACCGTTGTGCGTTTCCAGCGCTAAGCATGCGCATTTTTGTATTCATTCAAAACTAAAGCGGCCTCAGCATCGTGAAAAAAAGCATGGTGCTCAATAGCCATTTATGTGGATGCGGATCCCGCCTGAGGTGTCCATCATAGCTTCGTGGCTCTAACGCTAAGTTTCG